ACAGGAACATCTAACTGATTGATTGACAGTTCTCTGTTCATCCTATATATAGTACAGGAACATCTAACTGATTGATTGACAGTTCTCTGTTCATCCTATATATAGTACAGGAACATCTAACTGATTGATTGACAGTTCTCTGTTCATCCTATATATAGTACAGGAACATCTAACTGATTGATTGACAGTTCTCTGTTCATCCTATATATAGTACAGGAACATCTAACTGATTGATTGACAGTTCTCTGTTCATCCTATATATAGTACAGGAACATCCAACTGATTGATGATTGACAGGAACATTCAGGAACATCTGTTCTCTGTTCATCCTATATATAGTACAGGAACATCTAACTGATTGATTGACAGTTTTCTGCTCATCCTATATATAGTACAGGAACATCTAACTGATTGATTGACAGTTCTCTGTTCATCCTATATATAGTACAGGAACATCCAACTGATTGATTGACAGTTCTCTGTTCATCCTATGTATAGTACAGGAACATCCAACTGATTGATTGACAGTTCTCTGTTCATCCTATATATAGTACAGGAACATCCAACTGATTGATTGACAGTTCTCTGTTCATCCTATATATAGTACAGGAACATCTAACTGATTGATTGACAGTTCTCTGTTCATCCTATATATAGTACAGGAACATCTAACTGATTGATTGACAGTTCTCTGTTCATCCTATATATAGTACAGGAACATCTAACTGATTGATTGACAGTTCTCTGTTCATCCTATATATAGTACAGGAACATCTAACTGATTGATTGACAGTTCTCTGTTCATCCTATATATAGTACAGGAACATCTAACTGATTGATTGACAGTTCTCTGTTCATACTATGAAACTGATTTGTTTCTCAAATACCCCAGTCAGACATTAATCGGTCCAACTTTTATGTTAAAATATGAGATATGAGTCGCTGCTTAATGAGAATTGTAATGTCTTGGGTTCGAATCCCTGATTATATTTCCTGGCTTGTTTGCATATGTTACAAAGGTTTGATACGGATATACATTTAATGGATGGTCGCTTAATAACCACACGACCAAACATCAAGCCTTGCTCCCAAATCAAACTGCCTCGCCGTGAAAGAATGGTATGCAATTCAATACGGTGTTAAACCTCACCCACTCACTAACCCTTGACACGGGCCGAGTACATAGACGGATTGGTATATTTAATCCTGCTTCAGCCGACAGGTCATGGTGAAATTCGGGAGACTAAACAACCATACAGAATATAATCCCAGGAACGCTAATGTTTATTATACTGAGGGAAACAAATAAGGGAACGTCACTTCATGGCAGTGTTCCCTTTATTTATTCTCAGACTTCCTCCCACAGCGCTATTGAAAGCCGGTGATGAAAGCTGGAAAATATTAAAGGAACGTTTGAATTTTCCCGTGTTCTGTTTTTTTGTTTCTCTCAGTATATGATGGATAAAATTTACAATGCAGAGAACAGATCCATAAACTTAATATTACGATCCGGGAAACATGAACGTGATGTTGATTACCATGTTCATTAGATATGGGTCTCCGAGGTACCGGCGATCATGTAGAGAAAGGATATGATAAACCGACAGGTTCCCTCAGATACTGTATTCATACGCAGTATCGAAAGTTACATAATTTGAAATTTACTATGCAGACATCTACTATTGTAAAAATGGTACGGGATAAAGATATATTTACACTCTCGTGTTTCTTCTTTATCGTATATCATTCGAATTAAATATTTCCTTCATGACCGACCAATGCCACGTTACAAACATTTACACCTAAAATGATATGATAAAATACGAAATATTAGCCCTCGCAGGACATTAACCAGTAATGAATTATAACGAATGTGCATAGGTTCTATACCTGTATAGATAAACATGGCACTGGTATTATATTCCACTGACAAATATTTTCCAACATAATGTGAAAATATAATCTAGCACACCCACATTTATAATTAGATAAGCACTGTACCATATATCAATCCCTAAGAATTTTTGTGCTCGGTTGTAGTTTTCAACTGTAAACGGGGGCGGTGGGGTAGCCTAATGGTTAAAGCGTCCGTCACGCCAAAGACCCGGGTTCGAGTCCCCACATGGGTACAATGTGTGAAGCCCATTTCTGATGTCCCCGCCGTGATATTGCTGGAATATTGCTAAAAGCAGAGTTAATCCATACTCACTCAACTGTTTTCAGGCTTGTCATTAGTCGAGGAGGCCGGACATTATCTCAGATCTGGTGCAATATATGCTATCACGTGTCTGTCATACCTCGACATGATGTGTTCTGGTTGTGAATAAAATACACGTATATTAAAGTAAGTCTTCCTTTTGTCGTCATTTCATTACCAATTTCATATGTTGTAAACACGGCGGTTCACTCAACGTAAGATTTTGTATATTTCAAAACATTGTGTTGACTTTCGAATGGAATTTATGAAGCAGGTCTCTAAGTGCGAGGCGGTGGGGTAGCCTAGTGGTTGAAGCGTTCGATCGTCACGCAGAAAATTCGGGTTCGATTCCCAACATGGGTACAATGTGTGAAGCCCATTTCTGGTGTCACCCGCTGTGATATTGCTGGAATACTGCTAAGAGCGTCGAAAACTAAACTCGTTCGCTCACTCACTCACTCAGAGCATCAGCTTATCGAACATGGAATTCAGAACACACAATATTTTGTAAAACACACACTGACACCTGCGTCAAGGTCACACAATCATCGGTCACAATAATGAGCAGTCTCGCTATGGTGTCATCGTCAGCAACAACAAACGTGTTTTCTTTGGCAGTGCAACCCGTGAAGTTCCGGGTTAGAATTGATCTAATTCACTAACGGGATCGGGTGGTCAGGCTCGCTGACTGGGTTGATCGATGTTTAGTTTTACGTCGCACTCAGCAATATTCCAGCTATATGGCGGCGATCTGTAAATAATCGAGTCTGGACCAGACAATCCAGTGATCAACAACGTAAGCATCGATCTGCGCAATTGGGAACTGATGCCAATAATAGGAGATGCCATGGAGATACCATGTTGATTTGACTTGGTTGAGTCCAAACAATGCAAATATTCAACATGTTGAGATCAAAATATAAGATAAACATTTATAGTTGTTATTTGAAAACTTATTTTTGAAAGCTAATGTGTTTTTAACCGATATGTCAAGGCCGAAATTTATCGAGAATTGACTTGGTTGACTCCTAGCGGTGCAAATATGGGGGTTTCCTCGGCATTGAATGCAATTTCCTGCGGGTTATTTCACCAGTTCTGTGTATTTTGTAAATGTTATTTTGAATAAGTAATAAACAAGTAAATAGTCCTTAAGAAATATTTGCTACATGTATTAACATAAGTGACCATCCTTTTTCATGCAGTTCTTAAATGCCCATGTGTAACTAGGTATTCATAAACACTACCGTTCTTGATCCGTTCTTGAACCATCCATCCGGTCTTGATCCCTTTCTGAATCATCCGTTCTTGATCCGTTCTTGAACCTAACCATCCGTTCTTGAACCATCCGGTCTTAATCACAGGCCCTCGTGTCTTTGCGAAGATTAAAGATTAAAAAATATATTTGTTTGAGATGACCCCCGACTCGAAATGCAACACAGTGCAATACATTATGACAAGGCTGGACACTTCGGTATACCCCACCCGCCTGCTTTGCCGATCGCTACGCTACCATCGTAGGGCTTGCTATGACCACACACCCGTTTTGTGCGGACACGTCGTCATCCATTTGTGTCAAGATCGTTTATAGACTGTTTAAAGTGAAAACGTACCGATGAATTTCACTTTAAACAAAAAAGTAAATCAAATAAAGTGAAATTACGACTGCGAATCCTCATAAATTTGCCTTGCCAACTGAACATTTAAATCTCTGAATTTTATTCATTGTAGGACAAAAGTTGTTTAACAAACGATCATACATTCAAATCGCTATTATAGGTTTGTATTACAAGGGGGTGAGCGCAGTGGATGGAACAGTGAAACAAATGAACGTGAGGTTCGTGATGAGCGTTAACTTAGACCAACTCTACTTGTTCTCGGTGTTTCATTTAATGTGCATACACCCTTGTAATACAAACCAATAATAGCGATTTGAAACTATGATCGTTTGCTAAACAACTTTTATCCTAAGATGAATAAAATTCTGAGATTTAAATGGTCACTTGGCAAGGTAAAATTATGAGGATTCGCAATCTTAATTTCATCTTATTAGATTTACTTTTTTGTTTAAACTGACATTCATCGGTACGTTTTCAATACAAACAGACTATAATTGGGGGTCAAAATCGGGTTTCAATCGACTTGCAGAAATGACAATAAAGAATTGGTAGGTGTCATGAGTGTTGATCGATAGGCCAATCATCCATGAAGTGTCCGGCCTTGTCATAATATGTATTGTACTGTAAAGCATTTCGAGTCGGGGGTCATCTCAAATGTGTTATGTGTTTTTAACATCTTTAATCCTCGCAAAGACACGCGGGCCTGTGGTCTTGATCCCTTCCTGAATCATCTGTTCTTGATACGTTTCTGGACTTTCCGTTCTTGGTCCGTTTCTCAATCATCCATGTTTGATCCCTTCTTGAACCATGCGTTCTCGATCCGTTTCTGAACCATCCCTGAACCGTTTCTGTTTGAAATTTATTAAAATATATGGGGAAAATGAAAATAAAAATAATCAGTATGTAACTTAACTATGTCTATGGGCTCGGTTCCAAATAATAATAGGTGTAATGTAATCTACAGTATGTCAAAATGAAATTTCAAAATACGGTAGGTTTATCTCTTATTTCGCCGCTCAGTTTTCAATTATCCATATTGGAGTTTACACGATAGAATGTATTTGCATTTATTAATATTTACTATTTACATATCACATATCTCGTCCTATTTATATGCATGGCTCGGTGCTATACAAACATAACGCACCTTGTGATAACAATCAGATGAATGGTAATAGAGTGTGGACTATCTGCGTTATCTCATTTCGACCTTGACATTGTAATTCGAAGGACAGTATCCAGGACATACGCTGGGAGTTCAGTGTAACTCAAATATCGCTCTGTCATACTGTCTCTACTGACAGCAAGACGGCATCGGTCCCGCAACCCTGGCCCATCACAAGGTATTGTAAAAAGCTGATTGTATTGCACAATATTTACATGGAGTATAGAAAGACACTTGTCGTCTGCTTGTGTTGATGTTCACTGACCTACAAACGTGTAGGGTAAGCCAAAAGCGTGATGGTATTGCACAATATTAATATGCTTATAGTATAGAATATCGTCTGTTATTGTATATATGCACTGACGTACATGAATCATCAACATAAGGGCATTGTACCACAATGAAGGTAAACAGATAGACTGATAACATAGCACAGATAAATTCAGACAGTATAGAATGTCGTCTGCTTGTGCTCATAAGCACTGACCAACATGGAACATTAACTAAGCAGTCCTATCTAGTCAATTATGTGAATGGGTTTAGTTTTACGCCGCATTTAGCAATGTTCCAGCAATATCACGGCGCGGGTCACCATAAATTGGCTCACATATTGTACTCATGTTAGGAATCGAACCCGGGCCTTGGGCGTAACGGGTTTTTCCAGTAGGCTACCCTATCGCCCCAGTCATGTATGTATTCGATGGAATTGCAGTGATGGTAGTATACCCACTTTCGCTAATTCTGGTTGACATGGATCCGAGGCTCTCCAGGACGCCACATCTGTTATCAAACATTCGCTGATTGTCTGACTGGTTTGTTGACATGCCCCCGTCGTGTGACAGACAAATTGTTGTGCGATATGAAGCAATACACGCCTCCTTCTAGTGCAAACTCTCTGATTGGTGGGTGCTACCATCAGGGCAAGCCAAGCTTGACCTTTTCGCGAACACCTGGTGTTATTACTGACACCATTAAGAGAACCATTCATGCACTGCAATGTTGCTTTTTACGCCTAATGGAATCTGTTTCGTGGGAAAGTCATGGTTATTCTCCAGCACTGACGTTTTATATGTATAAGCGGCAGCGTCTGTCTCAAACCTTCTACAGCCAGACGCGGTAGGAATGGTCGAGGCAAATCCGCATTGGTCAACTCTAAAACTGCAGTTAACAAACACATAGCAGGTGTATGGTCCAAAGGGCGGTAAATATATGATTCAGCGCTTGCAAAAACAATTATAAAAAACATCTACCCGCATTGCAGCTAATTGTTTCGTCTATTATACCTCCTTAAGATTGCTATCGTAGGATATAATACACCCGGAATTGATTCTGGATGCACACAACACGGACGTTTGATTTAACTGTTACATACGGAATAGATGGTCGGAGTACAATACCCATGTGTCTTCTACACAGAACCCGCCCAAGTCATTCGCTCTAACGTTTTAATACCAGGGAGACTGTTTACACTGATCTTAAAAAAGCTTCGTGTTTGTGTGGACTGATGATACTATCGAGATACCCTTATGTGGCGTCGTGTGGTCCTGTGCGTAGAGCTCAGGTCACAAATCAGGTGAAGTTAAGCAACGTTGGGCACAGAGAGTCCTTGGTGGCCGTGTTTGGCAGCTTGACTCCTGAGAGTTTCTAGGCCTTCAATCCTGCCCCACAACGAAGCACATGTGATACATGTGGTCTCACCGTAGGCAAGTGATTTTGATCAATATTACCTCTGTCCACACAGCAGTAAAGTGGGTACCTGGTATGATACGATGGTAGTGTAAATGTGAACCTTGAGCGCCAGACAGGCGACCGGTTGTATTCTCCAAAGGGATTGTTCTGTACTCGTTGAACAGGGGTAATATATATGCACTTTGAGCATGCAATCTGCATGGATAAATGCCCAATATAAATTGACCATTATATTATGAGTACTATTATTGTCGGTTGGGAATAATGCCGAAGTCTATAATAATACCGCGGAATAGGTCATGTGTGTATATCTCATCATGATTATGATTGAGTAACGTCGTGGTTTCAGACATTTACAGCTAGTTATCTTCGTATTTCCTGACCCACACCTCCAGCCATGCCGACATGTCTGTTAAAGACAAACCTCAAGGACAGCGAGGTCCCGGAAGATCTTGACGTCAATTTGGCGAAGACAATCTCTAAGGTTCTCAACAAACCCATGGAGGTCAGTGACGATTATTCATACATGGGAGATGTGTGTTTCCGAGTTATAAGCTTAATTCTGGATCTTAGGAAGTGTAACGACCCTATCATTTGAAGGACTGGGCCGATTTGTTGCTGCTTTTCAATCGCATAGGGCTGATAAATATATCTGGTACTGGCTGTGACGGGAGCCACCATTGGGCTGGTAACTATATCTGGTACTGACTGTGACGGGAGCCACCATTGGGCTGGTAAATATATCTGGTACTGACTGTGACGGGAGCCACCATTGGGCTGGTAAATATATCTGGTACTGACTGTGACGGGAGCCACCATTGGGCTGATAAATATATCTGGTACTGACTGTGACGGGAGCCACCATTGGGCTGGTAAATATATCTGGTACTGACTGTGACGGGAGCCACCATTGGGCTGGTAAATATATCTGGTACTGACTGTGACGGGAGCCACCATTGGGCTGGTAAATATATCTGGTACTGACTGTGACGGGAGCCACCATTGGGCTGGTAAATATATCTGGTACTGACTGTGACGGAGCCACCATTGGGCTGATAAATATATCTGGTACTGACTGTGACGGGAGCCACCATTGGGCTGGTAAATATATCTGGTACCGACTGTGACGGGGAGCCACCATTGGGCTGGTAAATATATCTGGTACTGACTGTGACGGGAGCCACCATTGGGCTGGTAAATATATCTGGTACTGACTGTGACGGAGCCACCATTGGGCTGGTAAATATATCTGGTACTGACTGTGACGGAGCCACCATTGGGCTGGTAAATATATCTGGTACTGACTGTGACGGGAGCCACCATTGGGCTGGTAAATATATCTGGTACTGACTGTGACGGGAGCCACCATTGGGCTGGTAAATATATCTGGTACTGACTGTGACGGGAGCCACCATTGGGCTGGTAAATATATCTGGTACTGACTGTGACGGGAGCCACCATTGGGCTGGTAAATATATCTGGTACTGACTGTGACGGGAGCCACCATTGGGCTGGTAAATATATCTGGTACTGACTGTGACGGGGAGCCACCATTGGGCTGGTAAATATATCTGGTACTGACTGTGACGGGAGCCACCATTGGGCTGGTAAATATATCTGGTACTGACTGTGACGGGAGCCACCATTGGGCTGGTAAATATATCTGGTACTGACTGTGACGGAGCCACCATTGGGCTGGTAAATATATCTGGTACTGACTGTGACGGAACCACCATTGGGCTGGTAAATATATCTGGTACTGACTGTGACGGGAGCCACCATTGGGCTGGTAAATATATCTGGTACTGACTGTGACGGGAGCCACCATTGGGCTGATAAATATATCTGGTACTGACTGTGACGGGAGCCACCATTGGGCTGGTAAATATATCTGGTACTGACTGTGACGGGAGCCACCATTGGGCTGGTAAATATATCTGGTACTGGCTGTGACGGGAGCCACCATTGGGCTGATAAATATATCTGGTACTGACTGTGACGGGAACCACCATTGGGCTGGTAAATATATCTGGTACTGACTGTGACGGGAGCCACCATTGGGCTGGTAAATATATCTGGTACTGGCTGTGACGGGAACCACCATTGGGCTGGTAAATATATCTGGTACTGACTGTGACGGAGCCACCATTGGGCTGGTAAATATATCTGGTACTGACTGTGACGGAGCCACCATTGGGCTGATAAATATATCTGGTACTGACTGTGACGGGAGCCACCATTGGGCTGATAAATATATCTGGTACTGACTGTGACGGGGAGCCACCATTGGGCTGGTAAATATATCTGGTACTGACTGTGACGGAGCCGCCATTGGGCTGGTAAATATATCTGGTACTGACTGTGACGGGAGCCACCATTGGGCTGATAAATATATCTGGTACTGACTGTGACGGAGCCACCATTGGGCTGGTAAATATATCTGGTACTGACTGTGACGGAGCCACCATTGGGCTGGTAAATATATCTGGTACTGGCTGTGACGGGAGCCACCATTGGGCTGGTAAATATATCTGGTACTGACTGTGACGGGAGCCACCATTGGGCTGGTAAATATATCTGGTACTGACTGTGACGGGAGCCACCATTGGGCTGGTAAATATATCTGGTACTGACTGTGACGGGAGCCACCATTGGGCTGGTAAATATATCTGGTACTGACTGTGACGGGAGCCACCATTGGGCTGGTAAATATATCTGGTACTGACTGTGACGGGAGCCACCATTGGGCTGATAAATATATCTGGTACTGACTGTGACGGGAGCCACCATTGAGCTGATAAATATATCTGGTACTGACTGTGACGGGAGCCACCATTAGGCTGATAAATAAATCTGGTACTGACTGTGACGGGAGCCACCATTGGGCAGAGTTCGCTGACCTTTTCACCTTTTTCCACAAATATGTTGATGGTAATTCATGAACTCGTGCTCATAATGTTGTCGAAACCGTACAATGAATTCTACTTTCTTTTCGATTTCTTTACATCATGGTTTCGTTTGTTACTATTTGTACCCTGTTCTTCACAAAACATTGCAGAGAATGAGCACAACAATACAAACTGGACTGCGCATGTACCGCCTGGAGAGCAGGGCCCCGACTTGCTTCCTTCAGATCCACTCAATAGACGTGTTTGACAAAGACAGGAACCCAGCCTACACCCAGCCTATCATCGACTTCCTCAAGAATGCCTTGAACATTGACGGGAATAGGTGATTGGTTTGTAGTTCATAGTTACTGTGTGAAACGTATTTTAAGATGTTGGTCCTGTCGAAATATACAGACGGGTCTGGTGATTCATAGTACGTGCTTCTATGGTTTATATCTTAATATTCTGGTTGGTCCTTTGTTCAGGGGCGGTAGGGTAACCTAGTGGTTAAAGCGTTCGTTTGCTCGTCACGCCGAAGACCCGGGTTCGAGTCCCAACGTGGGTACAATGTCTGAAGCCCATTTCCGGTGTTCCCCGCTGTGATATTGCTGGCGTAAAACTATACTCACTCACTCACTTTATGTTCATCATCATTCGTTGACACATGTCATCGCACCCCAACAGCTCATGCTGTTGATCACTGGATTGTCTGGTCCAGACTCGATTAATTTCAGACCGCCGCCATATAGCTGGGATATATTGCTTAGATCGGCCTTAAACAACAAACAAACAGTCTATTCGAACACATATTAAACTTTCAAACATGTAACGGTTTCTTCGAATAGTATGTAATTAACAGTTTCATGGTTATTTTTCAGAATTGTTATCCAGTATCTGCCGTTACACCTTTATAACGTTGGATTAGAAACGCCGTTGTAGATGTCGCAGGCAACACTGTCACCCCGGTGTACTTCACAGATGGTCGTCGGAGATGCGCCTGTGTGCTTACTTTGTACAGTGGATTAAAATCAGAACATATGTCACAAGTATTTGAATAAATATAACATGAAATACAATGTCTATGAAAGAAATTGTTTACCGATTCATGCAAGAACTGCTTTAATGACGTATCAGAAACCATCTGTTGCTAACGCTTGTTTCTGTTTCGTTTATCCAAGATATACGTTTATATGATAGTGAAACAGCACAGTGAGTGAGTGAGTGAGTTTAGTTTTACGCCGCTTTTAGCAATATTCCAGCTATATCACGGCGGGAGACACCAGAAATGGGCTTCACATATTGTACTCATGTGGGGAATCGAACCCGGGTCTTCTGCGTGTTGAACGAACGCTTTAACCCCTATGCTACCCCACCGCCCCGAAACAGCACAGTGTCCGACTGGTGAATGAGTGAGTGAGTTTAGCTTTACGCCGCACTCAGCAATATTCCAGTTATTTGGCGGCGGTCTGTAAATAATCGAGTCTGGATTAGACAATCCATAGCTGACTATTGGAAGTCATCCCTTTTTCAGAGACCTAATTTTAGGTTGCAGTGGAAATTGTTGTGCACATATGTTTAGCGATTGTCATCATACTTTTGTGATTGTAAACAAAACTATGTGTTTCAATATGATTTAAATAGTTTTAGTTCTTTTACGCTGTGCTTCCTTGGATGATCATTTCAATTTGGAAATCACCGACTTGAAAGGTCTCTTCATGTTTAGCTCAGGTAGGTAAATCAGAATCAGATATGACTTAGGACTGACTGACTGACTGAGTTTGGTTTTACGCCACTTTTAGCAATATTCCAGCAATATCACGGCGGGGGACACCAGAAGTGTGCTTCACTCATTGTACCCATGTGGGCATTCGAACCCGGGTCGCGTGACGAGCCAACGCTTTAACCACTAGACTACCCCACCGCCCCTATGATTTAGGAGACTATGCGGGTTGGTTTGTCTGTTGTTTAACGCCGCACTCAACAATATTCCAGCTATGTGGCGGGGGTCGGTAAATACTCGAGTGTGGACCACAAAATCCAGTGATTAACATTATGAACATCGATGTACGCATTTGGGATACTATGTGTCAACCAAGTCAGCGAGCCTGACCACCCGATCCTGTTAGTCGCCTCTTACGACAAGTATCGGTTGCTACAGAGGATGGGAATCCTTTCTGAAGTAAACCAACAAATCTTTACTTGCTTCTACCAGATTTTGTCATAAATGGTGGTCAAATGGTATTTTTCTTATTTAGGAATGGACAACTATAAATGTCAGTGGACATAAAAGATGTCAGATGTAAACAGCGCTGATATGAAAACAGAGTTCCAGTAGTTAGCAAGTCTCTCAATAACAAAGACTTAATACTTGCCATAAATATCATTGTACAACATAATTCTTCCATCTGATATGTTGGATTCACATATGACTTGTCAATCTGTGGTTCAATGTTGAGTGAGTGAGTTTAGTTTTACACCGCACTGTACACCGGCGGTCTGTACATAATCGAGTCTGGACCAGACAATCATGTGATCAACAGCATGAGCATCTATATGTGTAATTGGGAACCGATGATGTGCGTGGGTCAATGTGGAGGCTGATAGATACAACAGTACCGTAGTAAGCAAAAGGCTTGATGAATTGCTCTATTGCATTTATTGAGTAGTGAGTGTATGGCTTCAAGTGGACAGACTGCAAATGAAAATAACCAGCATAAACATATTACGTTCCAGTATATTGTTTTATGGGGGATTTCTTTTCAATGTGAAGTTTAAACTTTCAAAACGTCTGAAAATTAGATAGCATTCTCCAAATCTAAAAGAAAATTTAATCTGAAAATAATTTCTTTCCTACTGTTAGTCTGGCTGACTCAATACACCGGTACATAATGCTTTAGTCCTTTGGTTGGCATTTCAGTTTTGGCGTATCAAAAGTTTAAAAGTTCATAGATTGGCTTTCTGGTCTATCGGCAACTACGCTGAAAAAGCAGAAAACCATATTTCGACAAATGCTAAGCCTTCTGAGAAGTGTTGTCAAATACATGTGACATGTGTGCGATCGATCGAGCTACCAGAATACACAGTTGCAGTTCTTTGTTCATAACACATTAAATTAGCCAGAAATGATGTGACATCTTTATCAGTGTTGTCGGGTCTACTTGTATGAAACGCCGATCTGAAGGGCGTCTGTTGTCAGGTATTGGATGATGATTCTGAGTAAATCTTCGTTAAATAGACTGACGTACAAAACAAAGTACACGCCTGGTGTTTTGGGATTATTTGAAAAGTGTTCTGATTTTGACTGGCAAGTTCGCAATTGGGCACAATATCTGTGGTGTTTTGGCAACATAGTAGGAAAGTCTGTGACGTATATATCACTGTAAAAACTCTTTTCAAAACATTTACGTCGCCTTTTGGAAAGTAATCCAAAAGCACCGGGTGTGTACTTTCTTTTGTACGTCAGTTTAGAGAGATCCAGGATTTCCATATTGTCAGTTGCTGATGTGAAGGTCGCCAACTATGTTTTGATGGGAGGAACATTTAAGGGGGTGTTTCAGTCTGCTTTCCAAACTGGACTTGTGTAGGTGTCTGGGCTCCTGAAGTTTTTAAACGCAAAGTAAGACCTGTATAAAATAAACGATTCTTATGATATGCCCCATTACTCCTCACGCCCTTAGTAATTTTTAAAAATTAAATTTGAAGTATGTTAAAAACCTTCTCAAACAAAATTTGGTTTTTGTGTCTATTTATCTACGGTGGACTGTGTGTGGGGGTCCACATTAAAATATTGTTCTTCACTAACCGAAGGTTCAGTATATACACATACACGTACACATACACACAGATACATAAACATATACAATATACATATATTAATATATTAAACTAATGGTTATGGGATTGATCATTGTTATAAAGTTTATTCGTAGGACTTCCGAGACTTTCAGTTCAAAATGCCTTGGATGTAAAAACTAGACTGGATGCAAATAAAATCTAACACGTTTGAGCCCACCTGCATTTAACAGATTCCGAGTTTTCAGACGAGATTGTGATCAGTGACCACTGACCTTTCAGCCTGAAGTTTGAGGTTCGTCTTCAGGAAGTCTAATATGGGCGCTTTGTACGTAGGGTTCCTGTCCTTGTCGAAAGCACCGATGCAGGTGATCTGGAGGAAGCAGGCGGGGTCGGTGTTGTTCAGGCGGAACTGACGCAGTCCAGGCAGGACCACCACGTTGAGTTGCTTGAACACGACATCCAGAACGACAATTTAGTTTGAAATGATGCTTGAGGGAAATGTTTTGCAGATAAAATAATCATATTTCACAGCTTCCTTTTTTCTGTACGAATACCATCCCATCCATGTTGTCCAGTTATATGACCGTATTGTAGAACTGGACAGTTCAGTCTATAATCGTGGCTACCAAGACTCATCCTATTGCAAAAAACATGTAGGTCGTGTATACTTGGCAGCTCGCGATGTTAATTCCATAATCGCGGCTACCAAGACTCGTCACATTGCAACCAGATTGCAGGTAATGTAATAACATATCACTTCCCCATTGTTTACAATAACAACCTATCTGTGGTTTATTCAGACATAGCCAGAAATATTGTGGACATTCCAAGAAATGGACCAGACGTGACCATGACTTCAGTTAGCTGGGTTCCAAGGCTTCCCAGAAGAATAAAACGAGCATTTGGTTCATCATCTCTCGCAAATTGATCGTTTTGAAGCAGACTACTGTCAACCAGACACAAACACTGTGCCAACACTGGAAACTAGCCAACAGCTTGTTCACCTCGTAATGTGATAGCTGGTTACTTATATTACCCATCCTATATTATAAGAATAAATCTATAAAATCTGTCCAGATAAGGAACTGCTTCCGACATCAATGTAGATGACAAATTTGGAATGGCCCCCTTATGTCTACCATAAAACATATCAAATAAGAATACATCTTTAAAATCTGTACACTTTTCGAGTCTTTTATCTTCGTTTGTGTTCATGGATTGTATTAAGAGAATTGCTCGATGTTCAATGTTATCATTGGTAAGAATCTACCAATTCCATAAGCATTTTCTTTTTGGATTCTGAAAGTCCAAATATGGAATTGCTTCTGACATCAAATTTAGAATGTCCTCCATATAAACATTTGAAGGCTTTGGTAAGGAACTGAAACGTTTTAATCCTGATAAAGAGCTTTTGAGCAAAGCGTCGTATGACGAAATCCCTGTAGAAAGAGCAAGCTAGATGTACCTCAAAGACGTAAAATGCAGACACCCAAAGGAGCTGCTGTCATAAAGCTCGACATTAACAGCTGACCAAGGAATACCCCCAGAATATATCAATTTTCGGCCAATATTTTGCAATTGTGTGAGAGTATTCTAAAAAATGAATATTGTTTTCTGTTTAACTCTACTCATTTGGGGTGCATTTGTAAAGGTTTTTAATTGTAGTTTTCAAAGAAATTATTTCAGTAAATTTGGAGAACTGAACGTATACATACGGAATGACAGCAGGTACCTTGCTATTACACAGCTACAGTTACATGGCTATATTAGTCAAGAGGCAGTAGTTGAAAGGTTTTTCTTATCACAGATGGGGCGGTGGGGTAGCCTAGTAGTTAAAGCGTTCGTCACGCCGAAGACCCGGTTTGATTCCCCAGATGGGAACCATTGTAGAAGCCAATTTGTGGTGTTCCCCGCCGTGATATTGCTGGAATATTGCTAAAAGCGGCGTAAAACCATACTCGCTCACTCCTATCACAGATACCACCGTTATATTTTTGGAATACCTCTGAAGGCCGCCCAATACAGTGTCAAGGGTTTTTGTTTACGGATTCGACTGACCAAAGGTAAAAACATCAATTAGAAAATATATAAAAATATGTCAAATGTTTTGCCTGAACTTAGTAAATAATAATCGAATTAGCTTCTCAGTCCTACAGAAAAGAACAGGACCATCGATTTGTGGTTGCGTGAGCATATGTCCTACCTCCATGGGTCTGTCCAGGACTTTAGCAATCAGCTCTGCGAGTCTGGTCTCCAGTTGTGGGGGGATGTCAGTATCCTTCAGATTGGTGT